TATGGAGAGCAGCTAAGAGGCCCACAGTAACTCTGAAGGAGCGGCAGAGATCCAAAGCTCAGATAGGTGATAGGTGTTTATAGGACACAATCGGTGATATGTTTCACAAATACAGACGTTATAGAAGAAAGCCCTTGTTGGAAGAAAGCCATTGAGGTTGTAGTTTGTTACGGGTAAAGTAAGGGGCAATAATTTTAAAACTCATCTAAAATGTTGTCTTTTCTGATGTAAAAGCAAAATCCTTTGCGAGACTGAGAACTAGCATTGCTCATCACCTTGAACACACCATCTGCAACAGCAGCACATGGTTGGCTGAGATCAAGCTATTTTGCAAGGAAGAGCAGGCAACAATCAACCTCACAATTTGCAAAGCCGTTAAAGATACAGCCCAACTGTTTCATGGCTGTAAGTGCAGCCACATGTGGTTCTATAAAGATTGACTGACCTGCTGAATAAAAATAGTTTTGAATTTAAAAAAGGACATTTAAAGAGCCATCATCAAGTTTTCCAATGATACTGCCACCTATGGTCAAATCACAGAATTGTAGCACTCTTCTGCTCACTTTTCATAGCTCACAGTTGACAAGTTTTGCTGGATGCCAAAATCCATTTTGAATATAATGCTTCGATTGTTTACTAGGTCTGTACCATTTAACATGGATGTGTTTGACGTCACATCTGCTGAACAGTTCAGTACATTCATATTTAAATGTACAAACAAACTTATACCAGGTACCTTTAGCATTAAAATAGTATTGGCTGCAACATAAAGAAGCTTTATGATCATTTTAAATGACGAACTAGAAGAGAACTGCTAAAACAGCTTTAAAGCAGTTCGAGGTATAATTATGTTTTTTGGTAACCCTGAATGTTGCATGAGTTTTCTAAAACACGATAGCACTGATAACCTACTTAGCTTCTGACATGTTGATTAAAAACTCATCTAAGAAATCAGATTTCCTGTGGTTTCGCACTTTCTGTAATTTCACAGCGGTCTTTGATACTTATAGAATAAATAACACATCCTTTGCTTTAGACCGTTAAGAAACAACAACAACAACAACAAATAATCAGTCATATCAAAATTACCGGCACCAACTTTGAAGAGCAAGCCATTGGATGATATCCAACCCTCTCATGCTTAAACAACAACAAATCTGCTGCCGTGTGACATTCTCAGCAAATGGCTTAAATGAATTGAGTGCTATAGAGATTTCAAAATGCAACTTTGGATTAAAATTACTTGCTGAATTTCACAGCTCATGAGCTGTTACTTTTTCTTTCTTTTTTTATCAAAAGCATTAGTAGCATTAAGGAAAACACGCAACTCACTTGACAAGTAAATGTTGACCAGTGGAGCCATTATCTGTGATCACTTCATTCAGTCGCATCTCAAGGTGAACTTTACCCTGTTGAAGAAATACATCACATATGTGGCATCAAACTTTAGATCTATGTACAAAATCTTGCGTTGACATACAAACACAATTTAAAATGAGGTTACAGCAAAAGGCATATAGACGTGCATTTTCATCTCATGCTTTTATATATCCTAAATTGCTCTTTAGAAGAGTTGTACTGCCTTGCAGATATATATATATATATATATATATATATATATACACATGTAATTAATATTTTTTTTTTTTTGGGTAAAATGTGCAACGAAAAACCATAATAGTTGTGAATATTGCCATCACTCAAAAATATCTTTACAGGGTCGGATGTGGTGAAGGCTGCAGGTCTCGCCTTCGGAAGTGTCAGAGAGATAGAAAAGAGCTAAACAAGACGCCCACACACTTGGACTCTGTCTCTGCAATTCAGCACTTGGCTGACAAGGCAAGTGCTTCTTTCTGATGCAAGATAGGCCTTTAAGCCAAGATAACGGCTCTACAGAAAGGTCCAAATAAGCTGAGAGCTTTACTAGATTATTTCACTACAAGTCTTAAGTAATACATATGATCAGTAATATTATGAGTGTTTGAATAGATTAATGTTTTTCCTTTTTGGGGGGAAATCAGCCTGCCAAGCTAAAGTTTGGCTTGAAACCAAACCAGAACAGCATAGCATTGCATCAACACCTCCATTTCTCACTGATGTAACTTTGCTGTGGAAAGTGTCTACTTGTGTGTGAATCAGTGTTGCAGTACATCCCCAGAATAGACCGGCGTGGGCTAATGGCAGCTAGAGTCAACACAGTAGCTACAGTAAAGCAGCAAAGGATTAGTACTATGGGTATACTTTCACATCTAACGCAACACCACAAAACTACAGGATAGGTTAGCATTGCTGAGAATTCAGACGCTCGATGTAACAGGCACCAGAAAAAGTTTCAACAAGTGTTGGCTCCCAAGTAAGTTTGGTTTTCCCTTTTTTAAAAGCAAAATTATGAGTAAAGTGCTTCAAAGAGACCAGTGTAAAAACACAATATGTAAGGTTTGTTATCATGTGCAAGTTATCCTTTATTCAGTGGCGATGGATAAATACTCCTAGACTGATAGCTAAACTGTTCAGCTGCAATGGCTCCAAATATTTTTCAGAAATTGTTCTTTAAAGTAAGCCTGCAAGGTGTCCGTTAAACCCAGGAACAAACCATACATCCTGAGTCTAAGAGAAACGACCCCACAGATAAAGAACAACACTGGGATAATAGTACTAAGTCCTGCACCCAATAAGTCAAAGTTAAGAGAACATAACAGCAAAGTTTGACGATTGGAAATTAACAACTCATGAGATTTCTCCCCTTTCAAACCCCTGGTGTCTTAATCGTGCTACTATGTAAGGGCTCTTGATTTGAAAGAGAAAGGAAATATTTCTTGAGCTCTCGTTTATGACTCATGTTCCAGATAACAGGCAGGATTCTGGGTATTTGGTGAAAAAAAAGAACAATCCTAACAAAAAGACACTCGAATGTTGATTTCACGGGCTAACTATTAGCTGTAAATGTCGCTAATGTTAAATAGCTAAAGCACTTGCTTAGAAAATTCTAATCAGTGCTTAGCTAAAGAGCTAGCTTGGATTTTTTTTTCATGACTGTAGACTTTTTGTCATCTCTAGCTTAATACCTCCAAGATTTCCTTTAAGGTTTGATCAGTCTAACTTTACACTGAATACTCACAAAGGTAGAGACCTTTCTTAAAACATCACCTTAGAACAAGACAAAAAAAAAAAATAATAGTACACAACTAACTGGCTGGACAAACCGACTGTGGATTGACAAAGCTTTTCTCTGTTAGTAAAAAACAAACAGAATCAACAGCATTTCATAAATCTCCTCTTTTTCTTAAAACCCTCTATTATCCACCAGCTCATGTTATGGGACGAATGAATAATTTGATTCCTAAAAGTGGAAGTAGAAATATACAGATGAAACTTTGGCCAAATTATCTATACTTTATGAAAGAGTGGAAAACAAAAAGGAGATCAACCTGCTCCCAGTTTTATTTACTGGATACTTTTCTCAACTCTTCAGTATTAAAACCTTCAAACTTCAAAGGTTGACAAAAAAAATGAGTATAAATGAATCAAAATAAGTAAATTACACTGTTAAGAATAGTAAATGATTATCAAGATCGAAGACATAGAGGTGAACTGGCTTTGGTATAGATATATTGTCCCCAGATCATTTTAGTTGATGTTCCTTGTAGCTTCATTGTGACCGAGCTCTAGTATAAGGAACTTATGTCCAGAAAAAAACAAGTGTAGCGCAAACTAGTTTCTATACAGTTTTCTCACAACATGCCAAGCTGTCCAACAATATCAGCTAAACAGACATACCAGTGTTGTGTTAAACAGAAGGGAGTAGTTTAAATGACTGCTTATCTACAGTTAAGAGTCTTGAGTGGGTGTCGAGGACTCATATTTTAATGGGGATCTTGTAAACTCAAGTAAACAGAAGAAAATCATTTCTTCTTTACCTAACCTAGCGAGCAACTTTGCTGCTTCGCCAGTCAGACAAGTCCCCAGCTGCAGCAGAAAGGCCCGACCAAACAACAATAGTTGTTCTTCATCCCATTCAGATGCCACCAAATAAATAAACAATTACTAACTTGAGTTCATCGTTGCAGCAAAAACCCAAAACATTATATATCTTGCAGCCGTTTCATGCAAGTTGCAGCTGGTGGTTGGTCGATGTGGGTTTTAAACAAATAACAGATTCACCCAACCTTTTTGTAGCTCTTTTACCCCTGCAGTAATAAAGCTCTAAATGTCACATGTTTGTCACTTCCTGCGGATGCTCACAATTGTGTAAAATGAGGATGTTAGGGTATTAAAATAGTGCCTTGTTATTATTATTGTGTACTAATTGAGATGACTATATAAACCAATTATTATTAAATTGGTTTATTTTCTATAGACAGTGCATCACGATCCATCCATGAAATTGGTATATTTTTTTCTTTTTAAAGTGTCATTATTGCACTATTTCAGCTTGTAAACTGAGAAAAAGACGTACTAAAGGTTTTAATAGAAGTTGCGTCTTATCTCCTATGTTGATTTTTTTGACAGAATAGGTTTAATGAGATGTTCAAGGAAAACAAAATCCCTGTTTTCAATATTTTGACTGTTACACCGACTAAAAATCCCTCAACTACATATTGCTAATCAAGTTAATGTAAAGTTAAACTGAAAAACTAGAACCTCCTGACTAATTACAATCCTCTAAATGGCATAGAGGACTTTTAACAGTAAAGTTGGTGCTGACTTAGCCATAGCTGCAGCTAGTGCAGACAGAAAAAGATCTATGCCCTTGCACAGGAAAAGACAGGAAACGTTGGGCAGATCAATGCAACCAAGACCAAAAACAAAAGTCTGACTTGACAGAATTTACACCGTTTAAACACTAGAGCCTAAGGTTGCCAGTACCTACTTAGAGGCATCAGAGGGACCATTTCTAATGTTTCATGACAGCAAGTTGTTTCAGTTATGACAAACCAAACTAAAATTAAGCAATAAATAAATTGCATAAGCTTTGTTAACACTAAACGGAGGAAAAAAAAAAAAAAAGACTATAATTACTACAAAAGCATCTGATGCTGTAAATTACCTGAACTTCTGTGTTAGGATCTACTGGCTGGAGGTTAAACCAATCGTCCTTTCCGCTGTATTTACATAGATCATCCTTCCGGATTGACACTTTGCCTGGAAAGTAAAAAAGCAACGACAATGTTAAAAAAAATGGTGCATCTTCTCTGATGATAGTTATCCCAGTTTTCTGGGGAGTATTTATTAGTAAACATGACTTACCAACAGGCAGGTCCCTTTGGAAAACGCCCTTGGCATAAACATAAAAGGATAAAAACTGAAATGGCCGCGGGATCTCAAAAAAAAAGTCTTCTCCATAAAACGGGCTGTAAACAAAAAAGGAAGAAAAAAATCAGTGTATTTTTATGGTCACAGTGGAAAATAAAGCTTGTTGACCAAACAACATGATGACCTCATTATTACCTTAAAAGGTTTAGACCTCTATAATTACAGACATGCTATGAATACTTTCTAAACAGACATTTTTCCATCCAATGTGGGTCTAAACACGCGAGGCCTCAGGAGAAAAATACAACCTTGACTTGCCATGATATTAATGAATAAAACTGAATAGGCAAAAACCACTGCTGGAGAGTTGCTTGATTAGATGACGCATGACACTGATCAGACGTAATCTTACCCTGATAGACCTCCATGTTATGTTTCACACATTAACTGGTATTATGCGGTGAAGAAAATGCAAAAAGGAAAAAATCATTACTCAACGATTCCACATTTCTGACAGAATGTTCAGTCATCTTAACAAGGTTTAACACCAATGCAATATTGCCTCACTTTCATGAACACAGGGTTTGTTAATGTCTGAGCAGACGGTGGGCATCGCAGGGTGCCGCTATGATTCATCGAGGATGGAGGAAATGTTCTTCATATCTTAGGTTACAAAACGTGACTAGTAAACCATTTAGGGCTTTTTCCCTCAACTGGAGGTTGACGGTGCAAAATACTTTGCAGTGGAGTCTATAGCATAGTTAAAAAAAACAAACAAAAAAAACAAAAACAGAAAATACAAGCAACAAGAGAAAGGTTTTATTTTATAATGTAAAAATGTGCAATTTTTTAAAAAATTTTTTTAATTAATTTTGGTTCTGGTTTACAGGATTAGTTTACTATAAATTCACCTAAATGTATAATAAACCCATGTGTTCTCAAGGTTTGAAGTTATGTGGAGTGGATTTTCTATATTTTAATCGAAACATTTTATTTATTTTTCTTAAGGCCTTCTAAAGGGATCAGTGATCAGGTGATTATGCACCTGTTTGAAAAACTATAAACAAATAAATCAGATTATAAAAATTGAAGTATAATAATGGTCTTCTTGCGCTTGTTAAAAGTAGCTTGTTGCTTTGGCTTCTCAACACAAAAGAATTTTATTTTTTTTCCAGTTTCTCTGTGTATCTTGTTATGTGGGTACTTAAAGTATTTTTGAATCTCAATCATATTACTTGTATATTTTTAGTTTTTGTCTGTGTAACGCCATTGTAATTTTATTGATACTTCTACATTCTTTTCAGCAATGTTATCCTGTGTGCTAATTTTAAGTCCTTTGTAAATAAATATGGCATGAGCTGTTTTCTTTTTTATCATCTAAAAGAAAAAATAAAAAAAACATAAGAAAATGTTAAAGTTAAAAGAAAGAAAAACAAAGGTACATCAGGGACACCTTTGGGTGTCAGTCTAAGCTAATCAGGCTAATCTCATTTGTCTACTTTGTAGAAGCAAGCCTAAGGAGGAAAAAAAACAAACCAAAAACAACTTAAAAACAAAACATTAACTCATTTGAACTCTACAAGATCGAAAAGGTGAAAACTTATTCTAAAAGCAAGAGGTTCTCTGTTTTGTTCAGAACTGACTGACACAATAATAAAACTGAGGGGTCAGGCTTCTTTATCAACGACTGCTGCACATTTCTCTAATCAAGCAACTTTGGCAGACGTAAAAATAGTGGCTAAACATGACGTCTGCATATGTACCACTGGTCTTACCTCTAATGATTGCAATACAAATAAAATAAAAAAATCTAAAATTAAATGTATTTATTGGTTAGACTAAAATTTCTATTCCCTAAGTAATTAAAATATTTTCTTTTTTAAAGGATGGTCAGTCAGTTGGGTAAACAACCACACACATTAGTTCCCTTCACGCTCTTTTCACGTTACAAAGAGAAATATCTTGCCTGACACTTCCACAACGGCTTGGCTATCTCATCCAGCGTACACCCACGGATCGTCCTCAAATATCACACTGAAATATGCACCTGTGACCCCACCCCCTCCTTGCTCTCTACATGCTCAAAAATACACCAACTAAAACTACATTTCCCTATTTTATTCATCCTGGTCTCTAAACTGTTTAAAAACTATACCAAGTGGCCTCAGTTTGCTGTTGTTTTAAACAACTATATGATTTAGATAACCTGTGGATCACACACAAGGAGCGCTTAAAGTCAGAACCAGTCAAGCAAACACGAGAAGATATGGGCCAAAACCTGGTTGATTATTAAGTTGTGCTGAATATCAGCTAGGGGAGAAGAGTGTGTCACAGAGGAGGACAGAAGAGTGTGGAAGGATGACCATCAATGACCATCAATGAAGATTCCCCCCGCCTCCCCCCTCAGCGTGGAAACAAGCCTTTTTAAGCATAAAAACTTTCAAAATAATTCATAGACAATTTGTTCCAAGGTTTTTGAAATTTTAAAAGCACTTTTTTTAATTTTCTAAACTTGAATTTGTAATTTTATTTAAAAAAAATAAACTTTCTAAGGAAAAAACAAACAAACTACATTTTGCAACACACACTTAATTAAAATGATTTTAACTTGTATTTTTAATTTAACCTAAATGGAAAAATTGGGAATCACAAAAGCTAATTTTTTAACCTTATTCAATCAATATTAACAGGTGAATAAAGTTACACTAAAAAAAAAAAACACACAGATTAAAGTTACACAATCATAATCAATGATCATCAATACGCATGAAGTTAAAATTTAAAATTAAAAAAAGATGAAAATCGCTTAAAGAAAAAAAGTCAAGAAAAATTAACAGCTGCTACTTAGTTTTCTGTAAAAAAAAAAAAAAACCTGTAAACACGTTAACCTAACTTCCCAGCATGTGCACTATGAGCCACACTAATGATTCACCACTCGTTTCAGAGAATTACTCTTGGGAAGGAAATGACACAAATACCACCCCGACACTGGATTTTTAGCCTCAGTACAAACAAGTAGATGTTTGGATTTTGTAGCCAGCATCGGTCCCAACAAATGAGCTGTGCAGCGTGGCGTTTTTGTAAACCTTCTGACAAAAGAACACTTTGGCTGACTCTGCACTGAGTTTGTTCCACGTATCGCAGCGTATAGTCTAACCATACATTTATGTTTAACGTTTTACCTCTTTGCTTTACATAACTACCCAACACTTATACTTCAGTTAGACTTTTTTTTTTTTTTTTAGGTTGCGAGAGCCCTGATTTGCAGGATCAGGTCCAGTAATTATTAGTTAATAGAAAAAAATAGATCTCAAAACAAATAAATAAAGGGAGTCGATATGCAAACAAGAATCCATCAAGTGTGTGTAAATCATCACATTATTAAAGCAAAATATACTCTATGCAATAAAACATAATATATAGTGTTTTATGCACCATTTGTTACTGTAATTAGCTGCTATACATTTAGCACATACTATACACACCTAAGGTTTATATTTTCTGGGTATACTGCTTACTGCTTTTAAGGTGTGGGTTGGTGAAAGGTGTAAGAGTATCAAAAAACTTCATTCATACTACATAATTTCTAAAGCTTCACATCTGTTATTGAGAAGACATGCAAAATGCCAAAATGAGAGAAGATTTCTACAGTTTTTTAGAGATTAAATAGAAAAGTTCTTATTTTCCATCCCCTTTAAATGTTGCTGCTCAGTGACGGTAAGCGAGCTAAAAGCAGGTATTCTTTCTTCTCATTGGCAAAAATTGATTGCTGAAAAAATATTTTTGTGCAAAAAAATAAAAACACACGGTTCAACAAGTCATTTTTTTAATCTAATTTAAACATTAGTTTCATTTTTCACTCTTTAAACAAATCTGACTAAAATCTGGAATTATAGATATTAGGCCAGGATTTGACATCTTAGCAGGCCTGCGTACATTATCTTTGTCAAGAATGCCAACATGTTCTACTAAACAAAAAAGGCAAACAAATGAAAAAAAAAAAAAAAGTTAAACTCTAAAGTTTTCATGTCCGTAATAATATCTTTGCAGCAGTATCAATTTTTGTATTTTTTTTAATCCAAACAATTAAAATGTTTTTGCTCAGTTTTTTGCTTAGCACATCTCTGATGTTGCTGCCATTTTCAAATATTCACTACTATAAAAATTTCCATAGGTGTATATTGGTTATTTATTCTCCAGGTGGACAGTTTTGATATCACTTCACTATTATGTTATTCTTATACATTTTTCTAAGGTCCATATTTGTGTGATAATTTTTTATATAATCTTTTTGCTGCTGTAAACACCAGAATTTCCCAATTGTGGGGCAATAAAGGGATTATCTATTCTATTTCTATTCTATTCTATTAAGTAAATGCATTGATTGAGTGGTATTTTGATCAAAAATCATCATACTGTGATAATTTCAAACCAGCTCCTGTTCTCTGATTTTCCTTTTAGATCTACGTCAAGAAGAGGATAAGGTCGGCATTCTTACTTCAACAAATACATGTATAACTTTTTTGTGCTTACGTGATGCTTTTGTCAAACACCTTGGTGCGAAATACTTCCTCCTGGTCCAGACTAATGGTGCAAAATGTACAAAGATCCTTTAGTCGATTCGGACCTGAAACTGGACCCAGGTTCTTGGCTTCACCTAAAACACCAAAGGGAGAGAAATGTTATAATACTACTACTGATAAACATCAGCAATATGTCTTCATTGCACTCCAAGTACATAATCAATACATTTTAGAACTTAAAAGATTTTCCGGTTATACAAAAAAATTATTTATTTCTTCATTATTTAAAAAGGAAATCAAATGTTTTTTTGAATTTAACAAAAAGATGATTGATACGAGTCTTCATCTTAGTGTTAAAAACCACTTTAAAAACTCTATTTGATGTTTGACATCCTCATGTTCAGTCGGGCCCGGGAGCCCCTGCCAAAAGTTAGGGCAAACTGCAGAGCGGATGTAGCTGAAGTAGACTCGGTGCTCATATGTGGTTAAAAACATGAAACATTGACTTCCTCAGCATAACCAATGGCGACAAAACAGCGCTGATTCACAAATAACAAACACCTTTGAAACACAGACCACTTCCAGAACTTTGCAGGGAGACACATGCCGAGTGGTTGTATGTAGCAAATAAAAACACCAAATCTGTCAACTTGTTATTTCAGAAGGCTCCCTTTCTGTAGATTTAGATTTAGACAGGATTAAGATTTCAGGTTCAGATTTAGACAGGATTAAAGGGAGTGAGAATCTAAATTAGTCATCTGGTTTTGAATCAGTATCCTAAGCCTGGTTATAGACCTTGTTAAGGAAAGCCACAGATGAGATCAGCTTTTAAACAGACTAAAAATAAGAGAGCATGGCTAATCTTAGGAGTAGTGAGCAAAAACGGTCAATGAGCTTTAACCAGGATGACCCAAAGGACGTAGAGCTCATAGGTATGTATGCACACAGCCATATATGAAGCATTGTAACCCCAAAAACTCAGCTGTCATCTCTTTTCAGTTGGAAAATTCTCACCAACTGAAATCCATGAATTAAGGGAAGAAAAATAAAGCTTGAAGAATATAGTATTACCATGTCTTCACCTACTTAATCATAAAGATGACTGAGAGTACCGTATTCATTGATGTATGTTAAAGGAAAAAAAGACTAAATGTGAACGAGGAAGAATGGAGTTTCGCAAGACAGCAAAGCGAGTTACATGCCATGATAGTTCCTCAATTTTGTTCTGCTTAGCGTTTTCTCATTAATTCATAGTAGTGAAACTGACATTTGCCTTTCTATTGTATGCTTATGCATTGAAGTCTTGCACCTTTTACCCTTTCAGAACAGGAACATTTTCTAACAGTTTTGGAGGGGTACCACTTAGATGTATAAAGCTGAACGTCTGTGAAATCTACCTGAATTTTTGATCCACCAATTAACGAAGCTGAACTTTTTACTTGACGAGAATAAATAACTAAAACGTCAATATAAAAACGGTCAGTGCCACAGTGGATATGAACTGGTTGATAAGTTCGAAACTTTAATCGCATCATTACCAGTTAAGCTTGTGTAACCTGAATTCTAACATGTAGGCTCTGAAGGTTTAGTAAGTAAGAGAAAAAGACAATTCAAATACAAAAATATATATATTAAAACAGATTATGGTATCTAATTTATTAATTACTTTAGAGAAGGATGCAAACTAACTGTTCTACATTAATGACTGACTAACCCTTTGATCACCAAATTTAATATAAACATAAGAAACTAATTTGTCAAAGTTTATATACTGAAAAATAATGGAGCACTACAGTTTCAGAGCCTCATGTGTAAATACCCCAGAGATTTTTTTAGATCTGTTCAAAACTATTACAGTCAATTTGCAATTTTCAGTAGCCTAATATGTAAGTTATTTCACCTGATAATGAATGCTTAAAAGGATCTTTCAGGGAAGTATATGTTAGCATCCCTCTTACTGTTATCCCCAAACAAAATGTGTGATCATAAGACATGGATAACACAAACACTGGATAAAAAGGAAAATGGGAAAACATAAATAAAAAAATGGAAATAGAGCCCAAAATTTAGAGAGTTACACTGTGATGGGGGATAACATTTGGTAGTACACCTGTATTAAGCAGTTTAAACTGAATGGGCTAGCTTAGAAACGATGCAGTGAAGTGGTACACATTAGCTAGCTGTACTTTGTCACCAACGTTAACTTGGCTCACAGAGCAGCTCTAATAAAACACATTTATTTAGCTAAACGCCTTGTATTTGACTAGTGGTGTTATCTGGTTGAGGTTTATGGTGTCCGGTTAATATAAGCGTTTATAACGAGCTAGTAGCTTCGACTAGCATGCTAGGTTAATTAGACGTTAGAGTGCCCGTCTATGGCTTCACACCGTCGGCTGCTGAGAGCACGCCGCGCCCCTCCTCGGTGCCTGCTTCAGCTACCCAGCTCTTCTTCCACCCGCCCCTTCTCCGCCTGAAACGGAATGATACTTACAAATTTTACCCCGCAGACTCTGTAAAATCCGAATCCTTGCGTCGTCCTCTTCCGCCATGGTCAGCGCTGACTGTTGGTGCCGCTGCTCCGGTGCTCTTCTATCATATCCGTTTATGAATGCAAGCAGTGAAGGAAAAGCCAGTCCCACCGAAACGTCACGTCAACGCTCGTAAAAAAAAAAAAAAAAAAAAAAAAAAAAAAAAAAAAAAAAAAAAAAAAAAAAAAAAAACTCTTGTCTAAAAAAAATAAAAATAACAAAATAATAATAAAAAAACGTTTGGCAAAATATCACACCTTCCCGGAAGTCTGTGCTGTCTTTCTTCACTATTGCTGTCTTTCCTTTTCAGAGGGAGTTAAGATACCAGGATCGTTGTGCAATAACGCTTTCGGAGAATGCAGACTTGGGCTTTTAGAGCTTCCTATTGCCAGCTAATCTCAGCTACAATACCAAAAAAACCCACTGAAAGCATGCAGTGTAAATGTGTCACCAGTTGTGAATGAGTTGACAACTCCCCATAGATTAGTGAGAGGCTGAGGGAGGGAGGCTCATCAGCTCAGCTCAGCGGAAACAGACTGAACATGAAAGAAGTGACCAGAAGCTGATGAAGATGGACCAAAGAGAAGAAAAAAAAAAGGCTTTACACGCTTTCATTTTCATCGAAGGACTTTTTTTGTACAAAAATACTTTTAAATTGTATACTTTTATATGTATGCATATAAATAGCTTTATTATAATTATGCAAGGAGTTTTAAAGATTATATGGACACTGCAATGTAAGTAGAACAGGTAAGGAAAAACAGATAAAAAGGAGAAAAAAAGAAAAAAAAAGAGGAGATAAAAGGGAGATAACGATAAAACATCTTCAGTCTGCTTCATCACCTGCAAAGAGATGTAAAAAGAACAGCACAAGCAACTGACATGGTACGAGACATACAATAATTTATTTGTATTATTTAATATGACATGTATACTGTGGTAGCAGAAGATAAGAATATGGGCTTTCTGTATGAAAGTGAATATCTTAAGTACCTGGAGCCAAGCACCTGTAGATGTTTGTGAGAGTGCACTTGTGCATGTAAAGTTTTCAAAGGAAAAATGCTCAATAGATACTGCAGTTTAAAAACACTCTGGCAAAAGTTGAAGCAAAAGTTGACCTCTTTACTCAAGTAAAAGTGAAAAAGTATGTGCTTCAAAAACTACTTTAAGGATAAAAGTATAGAGTAACCTTAAAAAAAAAAAGCCAGATGCCACTATATGAATTGAAAGCTCAATTTTTCATATATTTAGAAAATTTCTTTGGGATAGGACCAAGGATGAGGGTGTTCTTGTAGGTCTCCATTTCCCGATACGCTCTCGTCTGTGTCTGACCTTTAAGACATTTCAACATCTTTTTCTGAATCCGACATTGTAGCATGGCATAGACAATTCACGTTTGCAGCTTGAAGAACACCTGCTTGCTTCTGATGATTTCCTTTATCAAACCAATGAGTGTTTGTGTTATATGACTCATCCAATTACACTAGTTTTCACTAGATGTGGATGGTGCCAGTGATCTGCACTGGATCGCACACATGATGTGAAGCAAACATTTATAAACATTAAATCTAAGCCAAGAGTAACTAGTAAAGTTTGTTTTAAAAATGTAAGGAATAGAAAGTACAAATACTTGTGTGAAAATGTAATGAGTAGAAGTCAGAGGTAGGAAGAAAAATAATCAATGGAGTAAAGTATAGATACCTAAAAATTTTATTTAAGTAGAGTAACAAAGTATTTGTACTTGGATACTTGACACCTATGTTAAAACTAACCTGGTAACTTAGAGAGTATAACATAAATTGCTTTACATTTTTTCTGTGTATCTGAAACTAGTTCCTTAGGCATATGTAAAATGTCTTTTATCTTCATTTTTTAGTGTTGGAAAAACAAACAGAAGTGACGTTTTTAACAAAAAAAATACAATTGCAACACAACTGGTGACATACAATTGCAACACAACTGGTACCCTCTGTGGTAACTGTAATGTGACTTTTATGTAAAAAATACAGCAGCATAAAGCTTTTTTACTATTCGTTTTCTATTAAAATTGGGACAGAGAATATTTTTGTTATCGGTATTGGACCAGTTTAGTATATAACCACAGTAAATTTTTCCTATCTGCTTTCATTTGCATGGATAAATATTAGCTACTTCCAAGCAACCTTGTTGGCTGCATCCGTTTAATTGCCAAACAAACAGGATATCAAATCAATGCATTTAGGTTTTTATTTTAAGAGCTTGCGGGTGTCCTAGGGTTTGTCAGGGGGTATGTATGAAAATACTGTTGATATAGGCCTACTGCAATTTTCAGCCAAAGATCAGCTAGCTTTACATGCAATAGTCTAAAGCGGAGGTCTTCAACAGGGGGTCCACGACCCCTAGGGGGTCCACGGAGGTACTGCATGGGGGTCACAAAAGTTTGGGTTGATATGACTTTTTTTATATACACCCTCCTGCATTTTTTTCCAATAATTAAAATTTCTTAAATAGACATTAACATGAATTCAACACACTGTAGTAAACAGATAAATGGAGGCAGAAGATGTCTTTCAGTCATCAATGCACACATTCAGCAACACACAGAAGCTCTTTCATGCTGGGCATCGTTTCATTCACAACACCTGTCCCATCAACCAGGAATCAGAATCAGAAATACTTTAATAATCCCAGGGAGAAATTACTTTCATTACATTACTTTATATGTAATAGAGTGACTATAGGACCAGTTTGATATAACACAATTTCATCCAATATACGTATATAATTAGGGGGTCCCCGCTCCATCTCGCCATCAGTTTGGGGGTTTCTTGGCCTAGAATATGCGGAAGACCCCTGGTCTAAAGAAAAGATCGTAGTGCCCTCTAGTTGTGTGAACGGAAATGCCTTTTCATGTAAAAAGACAGAAAGGAAAGAGGATATTCAATGTAACTATGGAGAATACCATCTCTGGACAAATAATTTTAATTGTTTAGAGCTGCACAGGAATACCATATGCAACAAAATAGCATCATGAAATGATACATTTATTTGAACCTTTTATTGAGTTAGCACGTTACTATAGTGTTTGAAAGTCTAAACTGGAGAAAAATACATTGTTATTTTGCTTGAGGTTTCTTTCTGTTAAAAGGGAGTTTTGCTCTCCACTGTCACTACAAGCATGCTTGGTGTGAGGGATTGCTTTCAAGTCAATGAGTCTATGCAATCAGTTGGTTTTCTTAGATAGAAAACTTTGAACGAATCACACTGTATGATCTGGTTGAAATGTCTCTGTAAAGTGCCCTGAGATGAGGTGTTGTGAATTGGAGCTATATAAATAAATTGAATGTAATTATATTAAATTTATGTATGGTAGTGGACCAAAATATCTAAGACATGTTTCTGACTGCTCTCTGGATTTATGACTTTGAGACTTGCTGCAGTTTGCAGGGGAAAGGACATACAGGGCACTAATGATGTACCTAATGAAGCGTCTGGTGATTATCCAATCAACTTTGAGAGGGGGGTTCATTAGACAGTGCTTACATTTGAAATATGAATATCCAATTCTTTTGTGTTGATCTGAGATTCTTTTTCAATTTGTTTTCTCTCCTGTTATTTTAGTTGTTTGCTAAGTTGGTACATTAGTAGGAAACTTTTAATTCGACTGAATAAATAATGTATTCATATGAAATAAAAGGACTCTCCATTGGAAATTTGAATACTGACACTAATATTAATTCCAGCCCATTGAGCACAATCCATCAGATCATCTACTTTTTCCTTTCTTTTTTCAATTCTTCCAACTTAGTGTGAACAGCTTGGAGCTGGCCCCTTCCTCTTCTAACACGACTGTGCACCAGTGCACATAGTAAGGCTTGTAACAACATGGATGACAGTCTGATGTGTATGAACTTGAATGGCCTTTGCAGTGTCCTGTCATTATCCCGACAGAACAGTTTGGGATTAATTAGAGTGGAGATCGAGAGCCAGGCCCTCTCTTCCAATATCAGTGTGGGACCTCACCAGTGCACTTCTGGAGGAATGGTCAAAGCGTCCCATTAAAAAGACTGCAAAACCTTGTGGACAGCTTTCCTAGAAGAGTTGAAGCTGTTCTATCTGCAAAGGGTGGACCTACATCATATTGAACCCCTATGGATTAGGAATGGGATGCCACTTAATTTTATTTCTTTTCTTTTTTTCAAGGAATTATAACATGTGCTAAAAAATGGTGTATGTATTCAGATTAAATCCAATTGTTCAGTGACTAATATTTAGCTCCTGCTAGTGGAGATTAATGTATTTGAGTGCAACTTATCATCACATCCAAGTAGAATGTGAAATATAAAAATGTGACTCACAATGATCAAAGCACAAGTATCAAACTGACTGTAAACTGATTGTGCTGCTGAACTAAGTATAACCCCTTCAGTTGAACTCTTGCGAGTTGAGTTGCCTGTTTGACTCACTTCCCAGTAAGATGTTTACTCATCTTGAAGTGCAACATCGATTTGTACTGTGATTGTATAAAAAAAAAGGATTTTGCCCATATTGAATAAAAAAGGATCGACATTAAGACTTGAAACAAATGGTTTAACAAAGGACACAATTTCTTATAGCATATGATCTGCTTAATGCAGCACAAAATAAGTGCCAGAAAGCAAGAAACTGAGAAACATCTGGAAATTGTGTTTGGAGGCCCAAAACAGATACAGTTTGAGTGGGAAAAAAAGAATGAATTTTTCAGATGGGCTGCAGGTCCCTAAAGGAGTAGGGGGAGCAGACAATCATATGTGGCTTTATATTCTTTCAAAATATGTGAATTGTTAAAAACACAGTTTGTAAAATTACCAAATAAATGTAGTTAATGTGAGTTAAAGTCTAATTTAGAAAAGTGTATATGAGACAGAATTTAACATGCAGGTTGTATCGTTTTTTTGTTTTTGTTTTTTTTACATGTTCTCAAAGGAAAGGACAGAACCAAACAGTTCAGTAATAATATTTATGTGAATTATTTTATACATACTAAACACACAAAAAAGGAGAAAATGTAATTTCAGTGGTCATGTGTATTTAGTAGAAATTCTATTTACACCAGCAGAGCTTGGAATAAAAATTTCAAGTATTAAACTTTAGGTCAGCATAGTCTACCCATAAAGTGCAACTTACAAATCTATGTTATTTAAACTAGAGGTACAGAAAAATGACAACAGAAAATCCCTTTGTTTGCTCCGACATGCTTTTAAAAAGGTGAAGCTAAAACCACCACTGGTTATTTTTCTGCCCCCCCGCAAATTGCAGAAGCTGATCTGTTATTGCACTGCGTGTAACGAAAGATTACAATGAGTTACTAACTTTAATTTACATGCATAGACACAAGACAAAGTACAGTTTGTGTCAGAAGTCTGTACAATACTTTAAAAATATCCTTCATATAGGTGGAAAACTGTGAAAAATAAAAACTGCATTATTGGATTATGGGTAGATGAAATTTCAGTCTGCTGATATTAGATTATAATAGTTGGATTTGTTATGTCCAAAAAAAAAAATTGCAATGCAAAACATTGCAGATTTAATTCACCATCAACGAAAAAGTTTGTCCTTAAATGCCATTTGCAGAGTTAGTTGCAGTCTTTAAAGGTCTTTAAAAGAAGGGTTCCTCTTTGCAGACCCATTTTTCCGGCCTGTGTAACGAAATGTGTGCAACTTTAGATTCAGTGTCTGTCTTCCTTAACAGTATGCTGGATTTGTCATGATTGATGAGATTATTCTTTCTTGGTCCTGTCAATATGTTCTTGTTGGGATCACCTTCTTTGTCATAAGTTTGCTTCTTTGGAATGTGATGCGTAGAATGATACGCATTGATCCTCTTGTTCTGAGCTTTGTGTTTCATCTTTGAGGATGTCAGCGTAGGCAGTGAATCCACATACGGTGATGGTGGTGGAGTTTTAACAGCTGAACATGACACATGATAGGGAGTCATTAAGTCAGATCCATCCTTCATTTTTGGCTTGCTTTCATTAGTTGTAAAATGTTCTTCTTTTATGCTTTCACATTTTATGTCAATGTCCCCTTGATCTCTACTGTTTTCTCTTTTGGTGGTGTCTTGTTTGCTTCCTTCCCTTGAGTGGTCTGAGTACGTAGAACATGATGTGACGGTGTCATAGCTGTGACTGTCATCGATTGAATCCTGGTGTTTTTTCTCATGACTTCTCTTGGTGGCAAGGTACAAAAACCGTTGGGGACAGAATGAGCAGCGATATTTCTTCTCTCGGTTTGGGCTTTGGGGAGTGTTGTCAAAGCAAGAGCCGTTTTCCATGCAACTTTTGCAGATGTAATCTCCACCAGTGGGCGCCTCACCGGGAGGACCTTGTTTACCGCAGGTCCGGCAGAAATATGGATGGGAACCGATCACATGAGCTTTCAGTCCAGTCTCTGTAATAAAAGAGCTGTCACAGATATCACAGTTGTAGGTGGGCTTGGGGCTATAGTTTCTGCTAAGACTATGTTTCGGCCCTACGCTACCTCCCAAGCTGCTCTCCTCTGTTGGATAATGCAATCTGTCAGAGTGGGGTTCAGTAAAACCGGCTCTTTCTACAGAAAGGTCAGGACAGGGCTGCAACAAAGCATTTCTGTATTTGTATCCGAACTTCTTTCTTTTCTTTTTAGCCTTGTAAGAATAGTAGGGACGCCAAAGCTGATCAGCGTTGTCACAATCATTGGTTTCATCAAATGTCTCAGTGGAACTGATGGCTTCTGGTCTGAGACGAAGCCTTGCACTCTCTGGGTTTTCCCTCGGCGGAGTGCACTGATTCCTGGCCTGTTCCTCATTTCGTTCTCTGGATTTTCTTTTCTTCTTCGGGAAGAGCTTAGATCCCTTAATTTTGCGGCGGATAATGGCTTCGTTGCCTATTTTAACTGTTATCTGGCATAGGGGCTTTGCTTCACTGTCCAAAGATGGACCCTGGCAAGCAGGTTTGGCAATGTAAGTCTCTGTTTTTGTCCCTACTCTTCTGTCCTGCATCAGATCCTCTGTGCTAGATTGGAGTATCTCTTTGGTCATCTCTTCAACCATTTTTGCCGAAGCTGACAGCTCACCTAACTTTTTAACAGTAGTCAAGGAGTTTATGAATGGTACACTATGAGTAATATGCTCCGAGGTCATTATCATTGTTGGAGGTTCATAATTAGGCAGCGCTGAGATACTATCAGAGTTATTGAATGGTTGATCCCTTCCTCCAGCTTCTTTCTCTGCACTTCTTCGCTCCTCCTGTTCACAGTTGAGACTTTGATCAAGAACTTGGTCATAAGGTTGGTCAAAGCAGATGCGAGGCTTGACAGGGGAGACCATCTTTGTTGTGGCCATAAAAGTAAGTGGGAATGACGTTGTGCTGGGGCTGATCAGGCTGTTTTCTTCGAATGGAGGAATCAGAGTACTGCTGTCTAAAGAGTCCCCTTTCTCAACACTTTCAGAGTACGTCTGGCTGTAGGTCTTGTATTGCCTTTTTCTAAATTTCATGGGCAGAAGCCTGTAGAGCTTGATTGGGTAAACGCTGGCTTTCAGCCCACCATTGGCAGATTTTTTTTTAACAGCTAGACTAGGATCAATGCCATGGAAGGACTTTTGATGGTTCTTCAAGATATAATAAGTCATAAATGTCTCCAGGCAGAAAATACATTGATAGCGGCGTTCACCTGTATGCCAAATTTCATGCTTGGTACGATACTCCGCCAAGGCAAAGACTTTATTGCAATAATGACAGGGATAGGCCCTCTGCCAGGAGTGCACATTCTCATGACGCCTCAGGCTGGACAAGGTGACATAAACTCGTTTGCACACACTGCAATTGTATCTCCTCTGCCTGACTGTCTTCTCCTCATGAAGTTGCTGTGTTGGGTTAACTTCAGTGAGCTCTGGCATGTTTGGGATGGAGAGATCTGCAGAGGAAGGTGTCATCGCAGTGCTTTCCATGTTTGAGTTGTCACTGGAGTGGTTCTCAACCTCTTTCATTGTTATTTCCCTGGCCCCTTGCTTATGTGGGACTCTTCCAGCCTTTGGACATAGCTTTTCATGGTTGTGTAGCCGTTTAAGGTGTATAAATTTCCTTCGGCAGAATTTACAAAACAAATCAGAGTCAAAAGGCTTTTTATGTACCTCAGAGTGAATGAAGAGAAGAGCTTTATTTTGGAATATCTCTGGGCAATGCTCACAGCTGTAGACTGAAATGCTGTCTTCTGGATGAGGTGAAAGTGGTGGTGGACCTAACTCAATGTTAACACAGTCAGTGGCTGCAGAGAGCTCTGTGTCTGTTGTCTTCTCTGTCTCTGCTACTGAGAAAAGTGCAGGCGGTGTCATAACAGTGGCAGAAGCTGCAGCAGAATCACCATCAGATAATGCTGGGTTTGCTGTGTTCGCTTTATCTGTTTTTGGATCTGCTGGTGCTGGAAGCGTACCTCTGCCTAACATGCCTCTCAGCCTGTGGCGCTTTTTCAGCGGGCCCGTGTTCCTGTACAGCCACTGCTTTGAGTGGGATATTGCTGGTTTACAGACCTTCCTGTTGTCCCACTGACTGGTGTCTTTGCCTTCAGTGGAATTGTTTACTGCATATGAGTGTTCAGAGAGGGTGTGGGTTGTCTCACTGTTCCCATTGATGCATGACATTGTAGGGAAACTTGTGGGTAGCTGTCCCACATCTGGCGACTGTCTCTCCTTGTCTATCTGCACCAGAGGAGTGAAAGGATTGTTCCCAGGACACATTTCAGTGATAGAGAAGGCATTTGTAATGCGAGGCCCTCTTGCTCTGTCTGTTTCCTCAGGCCTGGAAACTTCCTTCTTTGTTGTTGAAGAATTTGTGATTGCACATGAGTCTCTGGATTTAACACATTCATCTTGCTGCTGTTCTTGCAGAAGCTTTTCTAAAAAAGGAATTCCAAGTCTTCTTCCAGCTTCTAAAAGCCCCCCTCGGTTCTCTGTAGCAAGCAATGTTACCTTGGAGGAGTATATGAAGTTGAGGATAGTGCCAAACACCTCAGACTTTAGGTCCATAAGCTCTAGGACTTGGCTGGAGCTGCATGTGTCAGAGGTTGTCAGAATGCTTCTGAAGTATCCACTGCATGCAGCCAGGATGTTTTTGTGGGCCCGAAACTTTACATCCTCCACCACGATGGTGACATCACAGAAGAGGCCTTGTGAACGCTGCTCATTGAGCTTGCTCAGCACAGTGTAAGGGTGTGTGCTGTCCATCAGGTTTGGATAGATAGGTCCACTACAGTCATCTGCAAAAAACAAGGAGAAAATTCCACCACATTATACTTAAAATTAGATCATTATAAAACTCTGAGACTGTCTAAATAGGCCTAGAACTGTGATTATTTTCTGTTTCAAAGCATTTCAGCACCTCTTCTGTTTTAACACTAGATGGCAGCAACGTTTTGAGATTGTGTGCCAGTTTTCATTGTAAGCTGCTGAATTTAAACCTAATGACCTCTAAGCCACTGTAATCACAAGGGAAGTACATGCACTTTAAATAGAGTAAAATACAGCATTTTCCATGTTAAAGAAAGCATATTTTTATATGCTAAGAGTGATACTTATTATATATAACTGTTGTAGCACATTTATATATATACAACAGTGATTACATATTAAATATATGTATTAAAGAAAAAATATTTTTATAGGCTAAGAATGATAATTATCAAATAAAAGATCTACAGTAAGTAGACCATTTGAAGTGTATTTATATATATATATGTGTGTGTGTGTGTGTGTGTGTGTGCTAAAACAGTTATTGCATATTAAAGTAAATGTAGTAACAAACATTGAAACGGAGATGTGAAATGTTCATTTGCATTACCATTAGTGTGGCTGCAATACTCCCATTTTATATTGCAAGTGTAATGCATGCACATTCTGTAAGCCAATAGAATATTTGGCAAGCTGGATGGACTTTCATTGTTCAGTGTCCCCCAGTGAGAGTAAAACACTGACTGATGATTACAAATCGTGTTTTCATGCAGGTTTCGTGCTTGCTGACTACAATTTTAAGAATTCTTGTCCACTGAAGGTGTTTTGATATTTTTTAGATTTTCCTATTCTCAGTAAAAACCGTATTTCAGTCAGGTATTTTTTTTTTCCATTGATCAGAATGACCAGTACATAACGTATGTGTGAAAATGAGTCATATTCTTACAGTGAAAGACTTCCTCTTAGATGCCTTACAGAAACTCGCAGCTAACATTTCACTCTGTCAAGTAAATATTTAGCATTTAATTTATGGAAATTATTTATAAAAAAGGTAAAATGAAGCTATTCTTCCACATCTAAGAGTGGGGAACATTCTCTTATGACTTGTGGTAACTGTTATATCCTGTTTGCGTGCTTTGATATTGTTTAGTTGCTAGATCTTGTAAAAAGATTTAAAACTGAAATATTTATGACATTTCATGACAACTTCCAACTAGTAGCTTAGTCAGACTTACAGGTAGCTTATTTGAATAAGAATTTGTTTTTTTTTCAGTGCAATCTGAGTCATTTCTGTTTAACATATCATGCTAGGTGTCTCTGCTAAGACACGTGTCATCACTCGTATTTGACCGATCAGCGCCATTGCTGCCAATCAAACCGCCATTTTGAACTTTTTTTTAATCATGATATAATTACAAATTCTATTATATAACGTGCTATGTCTCTGGGAACATTTTAGGCCTAATGTGTCAAAAACAGCACATTTGTCTCAAAACTGTTCAAATGCCAGATTATATCGCTCATAAATTACATCTTTGACATTGGATTCTGTCAAAAGTTATTCTTGTTATTTCTTGTTTTGTCACATTAGCATAACGTCCATCCTTGTATTTCCAAAATATTATTGGAAATACAAGTTGCTTTTAAATTCAGAACAGTGTTGCCTCTCAGGACATAGGTTTTTATCAGAGAGGTCTTTTAAATTCTAATTTTGTGATGTGTACCAGATACAATATGGCCGCTGCTTTCTGTAAAGCCTCTCAGACGGCTGCAAACACAGCTAACCTCCTGCTTTCAATTGCAGACAGGCCTCTGTTGTCATGGCAACATGCTATGGCGCAGCACTTATTGGGATTCAGCTGGACGGCAATCGACTGTATCCGCTGTCTGAGGTTTCAGTTTACCCCGTCAAAAAAAAAAAAAAAAATACGGTGCCCTCTTTGGAAACCTCTGCAGAACAGAATTGCACAAAGCAATGTAGCCTTTGTCTCCACCTGAATATATAATATATATGTGTTTTTGCATGCTATGGTCAGAGAGTCTTTGTGTCTGCAGCACGAAACAGACTTTCAGATACACCTTGTCATCATTTTTTTAAAAGTATGTTCCAGATATATGAACTTGTTAGTCTTTTTGTGCTGTTTGTGGAACAGCATCACCATCTCCCTCCAGGAAGCTGTTTCAATCCCCACATTCATTTTTTACAGCTTGCATCGATTGTTGTGGTTTGTTGCTGCCACATGCTGAGCGAAAAGTCTCAACTTGGTATCACTGCTTTTAGAATTTGCCACACCTTGATTTAGTTTATGTACAAAGTCACAATTTGTTTTTTTACTTCTTATTTTCTTTTCTTTTCTAAAAAAAAAATAGAAATCCCCTCAGGTCAAACCAGAAACTGAGAAATGACAGAGCAGCATACAGAAAGTACTGTCAAACCAGAAGCAAACCGTCAAAGCAAAAACCCCTCTATGCAGCTCTGCAAGGCATACTTCCGCACACACAGAAATAACAGGTTAGAATTTGAGGGTAAGCATGCAAAACGTACCTTAGTGAATCAGAGAAAATGATGCACAAAGAACAGGAAACGATATAGTTCGGTATCCCTTTCACTACGGCCTGCCACATACACAATGATACACGAAAAACAGTTTTGTAATAGATAGGCGAAAGTACTTTTTCCCCCTATGATGGTGGCTGAACAGTGGTGATGTCTGAATCCGAGCCTTTTCTGACGTCTTTCTTCCTCTCCCTCTCTCTCATCAGTGTGCAGATGACTTCAGCTTCAGCATCCTTCTGTCCATGCAGCCTGGGTCCTGGGCTACAGCTGCCATGCCCTACTCTGTCCTACAGCACAACAGCGACTGGAATAGCTCACAGCTTTCTTGCACGATGTAGCTAAATTGGAGCATCGGTCTGCCTCATGGACTAACTAGCTGGGCAACAGACGCTTTCGTTCTGGAGCCACTGAGCAGGAAACGGCAACTTTTATTAAGCATTGCAGAGGACTGTAGAGAGAGGGGAGAGATGCAGGGCTCAACATCACACATCAGCTCTCTTCTTCATCCCACAGCCAGAAAACACGCTCAGCTGCATTGCTGCGAGTGCTCATAGCAAGGGGTCCTGAGCTGTATAACGGCTGCGGTATTAAATCTCCCAAGCGTTGCAAAACTAGATCTAGTGAATGCCGATGCTTGCTTTGAGAGGATAATGCCTTGCATGAAATATACATCATCAGGAGCCCTCTAATATGTACCCTAAATGCATAAAAACACACCATTTGATTCTGCACACAGTCTCTGCCTGTGCAGGAGCGCATTACACCAAAGCTTTTCGCCTATGCCTACACAGTCGCTGTGGTTTGACAAAGCTGAATCAAGAGTAGATGCTACAGACCGTCACCCTGTTGTGCAAGGCGGCAATCACATTCCAGATGTTCTGGGAGGTTTTTTTTCTGGCTGAGATAAAAAACAAATCATGCTCTCTGCAGCGAGTGTAGCCATATAGAGGCTGCTGATTGATGCGAAAGCAGCAAATGCGTCAGCACTCTGGGGATGGGGAGATCTAAGCACACGGCACAGCTCTGTAGCCTCTTTGCTAGCCTCTAAAGACAGAAGTGACTGTTTAGGTTCTCCCACTCTGACTAACATCTTCATTTAACCATGCAAGCAATGCTTCACAGCTGCTTGCATGCAAAGTAAACATGTTTCAGGTTGTGAAAATAATAGCTGCTGATTAATGCTTTCTTTTTGGTTCATTTATATCATAGTAACCCTGTTTTATTAATAGAAACCTATCAAATGATTTGTAAAGAAACTTTGTTAAGAGGTGGTATGAGTCGATTTAATTAACTTTTTACTGCAGCCAATGACTATAAACTCAATGCATTTTGAATCAAGCAAACCGCCTGCAGCTTCTTTCATGTTTTTCTTCCAGGATGGTCATGCATTTTGCTCCACCCATATTCCCATCAACTCTACTCTATGAACAGGTTTACTGATCTCTGAAGTAGTTGATAATAGTAGTCTGAAAAATCAATTTCTTATTACATCCCTTCTTTTATTTATTATGATTGCTGCTTCCATAGAATCGTATTCACTCAGGCGGTCGTACATCTGCAAGGCTACACAGTGTTTGGGTGAGAAACGTTGTTTTGTGCTAATAGAGAATGTTTGGGACCGAAGCCAGACTCCTTTAGACTGTTTTCTTCAACTGCTTGTAACTTGTTTTGATTAAATTGTATGTGGGGACCTTCACAGCTTTTGCAGACTTTAAGGTAGTTAGAAAAACCTTGTCTAAAGCACAACATCGAGCTGTGAGGGCCGATATGACTGGTCTTTGCAAAGACAAATAAACTGCAGACTGAATGATTAGCATTGATCTCATTTACTTAATAGCATAGAATGGAAAATCCCTTTATTGTCCCACAATGGGGAAATTCTAAACAAATTCTGGATACGTAACTGGATTGCATAGGAATACTTTTCTTCCTAAAACAGTACTAGATTTTATTTGGGTGAGTTATAGAATTTAAATGGGCACATATAGAAGAAGAAAACAATTTTTCAGATTTTTATTTAAAAACAAAAAGCATCTGTTATTTTTCTACACAATAATCTACCACTATCTGTTGATCATTCACACACAATCCAAAGAAACATGCTTTAGGTTTTTAGTTGTAGTATTAAAGGTGCAATGGGTATGAATACTTATTATGGCCCATTGGATGCCCTGAAGAACCAGTCTTTCAGCAACATTTGAATAAAAAAAAAATATTAATGAAAACATAAATCTTTACTGTCACCAAAATAGTCTGGGTTTTAAACAGCTGCCATGTTTCACTCACTACTACTTAGTTTTATTTTATACCTTATAATCTCTCCATCATAGTTTCTCACACTAGATGAATCAGTTTAAAACTAATCCAAGCTGATTGTTTTTAAAGCAAAAATCAATCTGGAGAAGAGAACGAAATAGGGAAACAAAACAAAGAATGTAATGGAGAAAAAAAGGCTTTCATTTTTTGATTAGAAGAAAAAAAAATAAAGAATTGAACACAATCGATATAAATTAGTTGAAAGAAGAAAAGGTTTTAATAGTTCCAGGGAAAGTCTTCTGGAAAAATCAGTTTAAAACTAAATGATTGATTCTATATTTGGAAGCAACAAAAAATAAAAGCTGTTTGAACTTTGTTTTCTGCTTTGTCTGTCAGTTAAGCCAAATGTCATTTTCCCCAGAGTTGCTTTTTGGAGAGCAAACAGATAAGAGCTTCTCAAAGGTCAGGATGAAATGACTGTGTACAGGTCGAGCTAACCTGCACACTTAGCCCACTAGGGGCTGGCAGGAGGCAAACACTGCTAAGGACAGCATGTTTGGGAAAGACGTGGGAATTAAGGGAAATATGATACATTTCTAACATGGGATTTCACTTTTCCAGCAGGAAGAAAACCATTTAAAAAACCATGACATGTCAGTAATATGAGAGATTTAAGGTAATTCTCCCTGATTTTCTTTTAAAGTCACAGTGTGATAAAAAAAAAGGTGTTTTCTGAAATAAAAAGATATTTCAGCCATGTACCTGTAATTCACAGCAACTGTGCTCATTCTTATTTGAAATAACCTAGGAAAATCTTTATAAAAAAAAAAAAAAAAAAAAAAAAAAAAAAGACTGTGTTTACAAAACATTTCCCCGGTAGGTTTGTTTTCATGAAATACAAACACATGTCTGGAGCCTTCGATTTTCAGCTTTCATAAGCTGCTTGACACATCAGTCAAATCATGCTCTGAAACAGCTTAACAGATTATGTTTTTTTTTTTTTTTCTGACGTCATGATTCTGTCTGCTTTTACCAGCCACTATGATTTGAAGTGATCCATGACAGTAAAAATCTAAAAATATACCCAGTAAACGCATTAAGTCACATTACATCCACAGACATCAGCATATTCTGCTATGAGTGTATGTTAGAAAGAAATACAGCAGCTAACTCTTAAAGAAACAAGAATGTATGGGGTTCAAATTATGAAAAAATGTGGTTGCATGCACCCCCTCCCCCTCAAACAAAAATGAAATCAATAAAGGAAATTCTTCATCTTAGTCTCAAGTCTGTTGTAGATTACAAAAACTTATGCAGGATTCCCAAGCATTAGCCACACTCAGCTTCCCTTTCTTACTGAAGAAAAGCATCCCCTCAGCATGGTACTTCCACCACCGTGTGTCACCATGGGGAGGAAGTGTTTAAGGATGATGTACAGAAAAATACTTTTCTCCACATTTCCTTTTGTTTTTTTCATATAGGACAAACACACTCAGTTAGGCCTCTGTTCCCATGGCTATTGGCAAAAGGCCAGTGGTACTTCCTTTTACTCTGACTCATTAATGACCTTCTTTTTTGCATTTTTTTTTTATAAAGGGCAGATTTTATGTAATAGATGAAAGTTTCATGCTTTCTGTTCCTGAATGTTTTTATCAGATGTTTCCACTCTGTTGTAATTCATTTACTACTTATATATATATATATTTTGTAGACAACTGCTTAAGCTGGATTTTATTTTGGGGGTATCAAAGGGGGTAGGATGCAAAAGAGAGCTAAACTTCCCAATTTTGTGTTTTCTAGAATATTTTGAAGAGCATGTTTTGTTTTCATCTACCTTCTCAGTTATGTACCACATTATTTTGGTCTACAGTATAACATGTTCTCTAACGTATGCTGGTCTACTAACAGTATTTCATGCTTTTGTTCAAGTTAATTATTATTCATACAGCAAAATAGTGGACTTTTTGAACTGCTATGTCATTATATTTTTTCATAAATGTTTTTTGAATTCTGCTATTGACTTTAGGAATTACCATCCTGTTTATATTCAATATAGAAATCTAATATCTAAAAGAAACAGCCTATTTGGAAGAAAAAAAAGGCTACCCATAGTTAAAAAGGGCTTATATCCTTTCTATGATAGTGTAATATATGTTGTGTGTTATATAAAAAAAGTAGCTCGCCCAATATCACAGCCAGGAAGTGTTCAACCCACTAAAGAAATTCACAGGCCTGTATGCTTCTGTGGCTCATCGATCTCAGCTGTGGCCTGTGGGAGCGTTCAGCGGCTGGGAGGAAAACACAAGGCTGTGTAGGCCTTATATAAAGCAATCCCCGTTAACAAAGAGGTTTTTTCCCCTGCTGTTGTAATAAGCAGCCATACCTGTAGTTGGCTATTAGAAAATGTTTCTCTGCAGAAGGACTTGCTTTGGGCTCTTCTCTGGTGCAGTGAAGGTCTCCTTGCTGTTTGTTTAGGCGCAGGAGGGTAGAGCGACTACCAGGGCCTCCGTTGTTGCCTATGTCAGGCCTTTCCCATCCTCAGTCATCCCTGCTGTTGGAGAGTGGACTTTGCTTCTGGCAAGAAATTTTCCTGTTCCTGCCATGCAACGTTGGCTTGTGGAGGAAGCCGCCAGTGCTGCGTCACTCCGGCTGCATCACTGGCCTACAAAAGAGTTTCTGAAAAGGAGGGGGGCGAATGTGTAGAGAAGGAAAAAAAAAAAAAAGGAAAGGGATAAGGAGAAAACAAGCCTAACTCCAACAAACAAGCGGATGGGGCTTCCGCTCTCCGTCAGTTTAAGGCCCTGTTGCTGCTTTGGTATTCAGAAACTGAGTGTGGGAGACAGATCCTGTATTGTTACGTAATGAACATTTTTTCCTCTTAGACCAGACTGAGCTGAGGCTAATAATAGGCCATAATACCTCAGTCAGGGCAGAATGTGGCCCTGTCAAATCACAGAGGGAAAGCGAGTGTTCATCTTCAAAACATTCAAACAGCTATCTCTTTACAATACACTGGATTTTTGTTTTATTGACATTCTTTAAGTGCAGTAAGTTCTAAAAAGGTAACCAAACTTCATAGATATTCAGTGAGTCAATAAGGGTAGCATAGAACTGGAAAAAGTTCATACCTTTATCTACTGCTACAGTAGCTTTCCTTGGCCATGGAAGCAGATTTGCCCAATGTTTCAAGGATATCTATGTAGCTGCATTCAGGCCTGGGAATGGTAACCAGAACAGCACTTGTTTTGCACATGCCTCCTTGATTTTCCTCCTCCCTAAATTATGTCATGTATCATGTTTTCATTGCTGTGCAGCTCCCCCTGGTGGCTGATTTAATGAACAAGCCACAAAGCTCACACACTAAGGTGGAGAGGAGGCCCACCAGCAGATGGCGCTGCAATTCTTTGCTCAGATGTAAACAAAAAACAGAAATGTAAACAAAAAAATGTATCTTCTGAATGCCAGCACAATTCAAGCAGATGTAGGTAAAAGTAACACTACTTCAATATATATTTACTCAAGTAAGAGTAAAAATTATACATTGAAGAATTAAATCTAATAAGAGTAAAATAGTATTTGGTAAAAAGGCAAGTAACTAAAGCATCATATGTCTTAGACAAACTTTGTTGTCATTTTGCATACACAGAGTGTAAACAAAACGAAATTTCGATGCATACAGCTTTTCAGCAGTGAATGAGCAGTTTATAACAGTGAAATGAACAATATTATCTAATATTCAAAATAATTTGACAAATACAGACCAAAGTGTAAAGTTACCTGCAAATTCGGCTATTTTAAAGACTGTTCTATAATAATTGAAACAAAAAATAAAATAAATATATTTAGTTTTGAAAATAAAATTTTCCTTTTAACATAAAAGCAATGAAACTAGTACCTTTAGTAACAATATTTACTCCTCACTGTATCCTAACTAATGCCCTAATGTCATGTTAGGTTCCTCTTTGCTTGGTACTAAAAAGAAAAACTAATTTCAGCGTACTTACTAACTATATTTCTCTTTCTATGGCACTTAAAAAAATATTAAGTTTGGTGGCTCTTCAGTAATCCCTCACATTGGATTGAGTAGCCAAGTATTTCAGTCAATTAGGACTAGTAATAATTTATCCAGATATTACTCAAGTAAAAGAAAAAACATAGGGTGCAGTAAAACTTCATCCTAAAATTAGACTTTTTCAAGAAGTTACTTAAGTAAGATTTTAAGTATTTTAAGCTTATTTTTTACTTGTTTCAGTCTCATCTAACTAAATATCTTAAACTTAAGCTGTTGTAGAGCATCATTATTAGATTACATTTTGCACAATGTCTAGTTTAATCCATGCCCAAAATCCAACTGTTATTAAATACAAGAATTTGGAGGGTTTTGTTGAATTTTTTTTTCTTTTTTTAGTTTTCATTTTCATTTTTTTAACATACTTTGTTCTATTAAAGAAATGGATATAGCTGCTAAATAACAAAAACAACTGTTATTAAATACTAGAATTTGGAGGGACCATGTTCCGTTCCTCCATTGTCGAGGCGGCTTATCTGAGCTGCGG